AGCATTCAGTCAAATTCAAATCCGAAGGTGCTAAAGGAGCGATGCAATGTAATTTGTTTTAATGCAATCCTTGGAAATGCACCTTTGGGTCCCATTTCACCCTATGTTCAATTTGCGTTTTGCCATTTTCAAGGGTACGTATTGTGCCTTTTTTGGTCTTTAAGCTAATGCCAATTTCCATATTCATTAGATAAGTTTGATGTCATTTCCATATTCGGCAGATAAGACATTTCAGGCAGAAACGTCAATGTTAAGCTATTTCAGCACCAAAAGTTGACATAATTTTGGATATTTCGCTGCGGAAAATGTTCTCTTCTCTGGTGATTCGTTGTTGTATCAATAAGTGACAGTAAGCCAATGAGAAAACTTTTTCTGCGAATGTTTTTAAAAAGCAAGTTTTTGAGTTCACAAGTCGAACATAAACCCTTTAACCGAACAGAGTGTCTTCCTGAAAATGCATCACAGCAACAGCGCCCTCAGTTGTCCACAAAAAGCACGGACATCTTTTAAATGTTTTTAAAGTGCACTTTTCCTTGCAATTAATCAAAAAGAGATGTCAAATAGATTTCATACATTTTTACGAGGAGTAGAAAGTTGCACAAAATATGTTCCTTTAAATGGACCCTTTAAATTTTTTTTTCTTTTTCTTTCCTTTGTTTTAGGATTAGATATGCTTTTGTATAAATACATGAAAAAAATCAACCTTTTCAATTGTATAATAATGACCAATCTAGGCACAGTGTAGATGTACGCTCACGGCGCTCCCCAGCAATGGCTTATAAATATTTTGCCAGCTATACTAGTTTCAGAGTAGCCATTTTTGAGCGGTTGTTAGGTACGCACTGTGGTTCGCACCATGCTTCTACCATTATCGGCACCACCGTGATGTTGCAGCGATCCTGCATCTGCACTGTTTCGTCTTTAAGCAGAGCAGGGGGCGGGGCGATCCAACAGATGTATTATGATGGGGGGGGGGGTCCGTAGTCTCAAACCTATACACCGTTTTTACCGCCGCCAAGAAGGTTATGTTTTCACCGGCGTTGGCTTGTGTGTTGGTTGGTTGTTGTGTTGGTGTGTTTGTGAACAGGATAACTCAAAACGTTCGTGACGGATTTTCATGAACTATTTTTTTAGGGGTGGTCCTTGGTACAAGTACAAATTGATAAGATTTTGGAAGTGATCCGGATCTGCGTCTAGATGCAGGATTTGGTTAAAGGATTGTTCATCCATCATATGGAAAACTTTGTGACCAGCTTCGTGTGCGTGGCACTGACCCGGTGACCCTGTATGCCTTATCACCCACCTAATCTAACCACACAGGTCAATGGACTAGACCATTTTAAACAATGGGGGAGTGGAAAGGTAGACCAACAGAGGCATAAACATGTAGAGGGGTAAAGTGGTCTTTGGTACAGTACCAATCGTTTAGATTTCGTTTAGCCTTGGCGGAGGTGTGCGCTCTCTGAGTGCTTTCTAGTTGCCAATAGTTTTTCAATTTGTGTTGTGATTTTTTTAAAACGGTAATCAGGCCCCAACAAAATCAGGACAGTGCATGCTCCTTTTCGCGAACAGTAATACAATTGAGATCCCAACCAATTATTAACCGCCATCTTTGCACTCGAGTTGCGAGTTGAATGGGGCCTTCCCTTCCCCAATTTCAAACTGATTCATGAAAAGCGACAGTCGGCGCGTCGCCCGTCGTTTATTGCGTGGCCGTCAATAAAAGTCGAATTAACTCGCGGCACATTACCGGAAATTTAGCATTTGACGAAAGCAGACTGGCTTTGGAATTGAGTCCGTCCAATTCCAACAGACAAAAATCAGGTCACTGAAGTTTAGTAAAAAAAGGGAACTAGTCAGAGCGTACTCAATCTTCTGACAAAATGTGTCTCAGTCATTTACAAAATTCTACTTCGTTTTCCCACCTTGTCTATCACTGAGGTATAAATATTTTGTTTTTTGGAAAGCGTAACTAATTTAATTACGCAATTCGCCCTTCGGTCTAAACTGCCATTCACACTGGTTCATGCACACATTTAATAATGTGCCAAGCTGTGCAAATACGAAATTCAAAGGGCCGAAATTGCCTGGGTGGGCCGTACTTTAGCACGCACGCGACATTCGAACGGCCTTCGGGGCTCCGGAGAGTCCGAGGAACTAAGTCAAGAGTTTCCCAGCGGATCGTATTGGGGTTAATTCGGACCCACCTGAGTACGAGGATTCAGTATGAGGATGACTTTTTCCCCCCGAACAATTTGGGTCGAGGTGTATGCTGTCTTTATTAAACCAATTTTATTTTCCGGCGGGCGGAGAGGCTTCCGAAGAATCGATACCGCGAGGAATCGATACCGAGCACCGAATATTCATGAATGTGAAAATATGTTTTCCGATCTCGCGGATTTACATTCCGAGCATAACACCCAGACTGACAGGCCGTGAATATTGCACGCAATACCCTGTCATATGAACCCTGCGGCGTAATAGTCTTGGCCCAACTGCCCTAGATTTCAATAACGCAGCCGGTGAAATGTGAAATGCAGACTCATTGAACGTATTGCGCATGTCTACGTGAAGACAATTTTGACAGTGATCGGTCACGTGTGAGGGTGAGTGTTCATATAATGTAAATAGACTAAATTTCATAGGAGTTCGAATTTCATATGACATCGGCCCCTGATAGCGCGCTAAAGCCACCGTGTCCGTAGAGGGCGCTACAAACAAAATCATATTGACCAATCGAAAAATGTCATTCTTTTTGCCGGACGGAATAAGTTGATGGGAGTTCGTCATTTGTTGAAACTTACCCAGCGAAATTTAAGTCCGTTCTGTACCCGATTAAATAAGCTTGGAAAACTGTGGTTTACAAAGGGCCTAAATAACACGTATGTACACACGACAAACTGACCGTGCGTTTATGGAACCTGAAGCTACATATAACCTTACAAAATGCACCATCAAAACTATAAATCTGAAAATTTACGAACTCTTAGTTTACGAACTTGACAGCCGACAGTACACACTCGAGTAATTCCCGTAAATTTTCCCAGAATATAAACAAAGTGCTTTTGACCGCTAGCGGTAACGCTGTGATCCGAAAGAGGAAGTTTATCAGTGATATGAAGAGATTTAAGGCCAGCTACCGGGAAAATAAGGTTCAAGGTCTCTCTCTGGTTTTACAACTTCGCTAAAAAAAGATCGCTAAAAGTGGTGCGAGTTTTCCTGCCATGCACGTCCCGTGATATCTCGACCTATTGTACGTCCTGCTGAATGAGAAATATTAATACATGTAGTGTCACAGAAGGTTAATCAACATTTAAAAACTTGTGGTTGCTGTTAGTAACAAAACTACAGGTGATTCAAAAAAAGATATTGACCTGGAATTATATTTTCCCCTTAAACCTAACTCCCTACGCATTTTTACTAGGATGCAACCTCAATCCTGCTCAATCTTCCAACTGTCTCCATGTAAAAAAATTATCCCATATTTCTTGAATGTGGTCCATGGAGGGATGACCACTGCCTCAATCCTGCAAATCCTCCAGCAATCACTGTCTATATGTTTAGACAGAGCCAGTGACATCTTGGAGCAATGCGGAGGATTTCAAGTATAATCTAGGCCTAAATTTATGCACGGCCGGCTGAGCATAAATAACACAAGGTCCGGCCCAAGACCATGACACAGTGCATCCTCCAAAATCAGCCACACATATTTGCCATATAGCTTCAATCCTACAAAATCCTCCATTTTGCAAAGAGGATTTTGGAGGATTTGAGAAGGTTAGGGTTAAAAAGCAATTACATTTGACACAACAACGAAGCACAGATTAAACGAGCATGTTCTTCCACACATTAAAAAAAAAAGATTACTGAAATTGATCCATGCTTTGAGAAGTTACGCTAATATTTTACAAAAATCATCCATTTTTTTTTTTACAGCTGTCCTTGGAATGCCATTGGAAGCTATTGAGTAAGAGCCAACCAAAAGATTACACACAGGCGTTCAGACACAAATGAGATGTTTTACGTTTTGTCAAGACTGAAGCGTCATTTTTACTGTCAGATTTTGTGTTTTGAATGTGAGGATTTTTTTGTCTGAAATAATGAAGGTGATTTTTTTTGTCTGTTTTCCTGTGCCAATTTGCGTTCATTCATGAATGCTGGAAAAACCGTTTCATTGTATTTGAATGGTAAATGATCATTGGTTGACAGCTGAACTTTATCCTTCGAAATAAGATAAGTAAACAATCCAAGACATTCAAATGTTCGGGAATTTCAGGCCGCCATGCCCCTTTAATGTAAGGGACAAATTTCAATATATTTATTTTGCAAAAGTATCGTTTGAGGTTGCGGAAATATGTACATAACGAAATGTCATTCATTCAAAAATTAATGGAGGCGACATTCGATAAAACGGACAGAAAGTAGTGCAGCTGCCATTTTATTAGATTGCTACGGTTACCTTACCGGTTCATCGTAAGGTTGTTCCTTCATTATAACGGCATGATTTTCTGTAAAGTGAAGCCGAATGATAGGTTGGGCATTTTTTCCCTCGAAAACGGCCTTTATGCCTTCAAGGCCGAGGTCGTTTTTCTTTTCACAAACATTGCCACGCATTAAATAAAACATGGAGCATCAAATATGGGGCATTATTGATAATATAGAAAACAAAACTGAGGAAATGTTATTTAGTCAATAACACCTGGTCTGCAATATGGTAATATCGTCGTTCCCCACAGTTGTCAGATATGCCTATACTGAACGAAGACAGATTTCACCGTGATTTTTATGTTCCAAAGAATAAAAGTCAAATAAATCTCAGAATACTCTAAATCTGAAAATACAGCGATAGGACTGAGTAAGTAATCCCGGTTATAATTTTGACCAAAAAAACCCACTGCAAAGACATTTTCAACCCCGGAAGTGTAGACGATGATGACGTATTTTAAATCAGTGTTATAGCGCCACCAAGAGACCGTAACAGAAACAGTAAAATCCAACATGGCAGTGCACCTTTATGTCAAGTGTCAGTAGTACAACTTTATTTCAAGTGTCAGTGCATTTTCAGTTGGGAATGAAGTTAACGAGACCCTACCTTACATCAACACGGCGTCATCCGTAGCTATAGCTGGTCGTGGCTCCACCTTGGCTCCCCGTAAGGCCTATGTGAAACGAGAGATAATCACGTCGCTTGGGGAGAGCAGATTTATTCTAATCCGTGTCGCCACGCTAACAGTTTCCCCTTCCGAGTCCAAGTTTCAAGTGTTGGTGTCAAAGTACACCCGTTACAATTCGATACAGCGTGTCCAGTTTTTCGAGGAAACGATGCGCCTGATTTTACCGAGTACGGGAAATGGTATTGAACACGTTCCTGACAGTGATTGCGGTCATGGCTGTGGGAGTTTGGCTCCGTCAGGAAATGACTGCTGAAAAAGTAACTGGTAAGCTGAATCAACCAAAATACTGTTCTAGTTCTTTTCAACATAGGTTTGACACCGTTGACCTCGTCCTTTTTATTGAGGCACTATCGCGTTATTGTTATTGTAGAACTGCAGCAGTGAAGTGTAACGGTGCATGCTATTTCCTCTTACTTTGTTGTCTATATCTATGTTGTTTGGCAACAAGATATGTGTTCCATGCCTTTCTACAAACAACCACAGGACATTAAACACAGTTTAATATATATATAATTATATTCATAAATACCTAAGACAGTTTACCCATTCCTATTGGTCGAGAGGCCGGCCTGATAAAACCGTTGATGAAACACCGGATGGCTTTTCAAGTGTCACAAAAATCCTCGGTTAGACATGCGCAATACTACCAATGAGTCCGTATTTCATAGTCCTAAATCTGAACTACACCGGCACAGCTGCGTTATGCGCCACATCGCGCAGTACGCACAACGTGCGCGCCAAGCTCCCTATAAGGAGTTGTTTACGACAACTCGCAAGAGGGCCATGATATTATAATCACCCAGGTTTTATTCTTTTAAATTAGATATCAGTGCTTTTTACGGGTGTGGTATCCCGAAAAATTCATTTTTCATTTTTAGATTTCTATTGTTTTTTTTAGCTTCTTCTAAGATATTATTTTAGCTTTCCAATATAAGCCATTGCATGAACAAACATTGGGAATAATAAACGTAAAAACACGAAGCTCAAATTTAATTCAAGTAATAAAATGGGCCACTTTCTAATTTCTGTTAATAGTAAAGCATATAAATCTAAACGTGACGTACACAATGAAAACAATATTTTTTTAAAGGTCAAATATAGTGAGCGGAGTACATTTAGTAATGTTTCGTTTAAAATTACGCTTTTCTTCCTTGATTCGTCAGCTGAGAGCAATCCGTTCAATGAGTTTTCTTCTGAAGAGCACAGATTTAGAGGCTTAGAAAGAAGTTTTCTAAGCGGTCAATTCGCGGAAAAAAATTCATTAGAGTGGTCGCCAGGCTATCATTAAGTAGATTTCAGTCGTAAAACGGCTATTTAAGGCCAAAGTCCTTAAGACGCGCCTTGCGACCATTATGTCGATATGACCATTACGACCTGGTTGCATAGTAGCAATCGAGAGCGGGAGGCTAATTATATAAACTGCCCTCGATCTAAGACAATAGTTCCGTGGAGAGCGAAAACTGGGCCAATATTTTTCAGACAGAACCCGTTACCGACGGAACTTTCATAACAGACTGTACCACCGTATTTCGCAATATGGACGGACAGTACCGGTTCTCATTCGGATAAAACAGCCGCAGAATTCAATGTTTTTTTTCCTGGAGTTTCCGGCGGGACAGCTCAAAATGTAGTCTTGTCAAACTCGATGATTGGTGCTAGTAAGACATCTACACTAGTGTGCAGAAGCTCGCTAATTATTCGTGCACTCAATCTCGCAGCTTTGATTAAACGGACGATGATATCATAGGAACTATAAAAAAATACCTTTGCATTAGAATTGTGCACAATTAAAGAACAAGAATTCTTGTGGTGTAAAGAAGGCAGTCCTATCCCTCAAAAGCCGGTTGATTAACTGCCGTGTTTTCAATTTAAGTGGATTAGAAAAAAAGGTTTGCACCTTGTTTTTTTGCGTTTTGTTTAATGCCTTTCTTACTTTGTCAAATCAAGCCGTAGAGAATACTTCCTAGTGTAGGTAAGATTATACTTCAGTGGCTTGTCGAAGAACATTTCTGCAACCAAAAATAAAAAAGAGTGAAAGATTGAGAGTAAATTACTTATTGATTTGGAATGACATCAATCCACTTTTCATTACCGTGTTGATGACTCGGCGCATCTTGGGCACGCACGATAAACAGATACTTCCGCGGGACATTATTGCATTCACGGAGGCTGGAGTGGTCTCAAGATTTGTTGATTTGTCTTGGAGAGATGTATGATTTTGCCCAAATATGGGGCCTCGTAATGCAAGAAGATCCTTTGAGAGAATGACGATGATTAGAAGTGGCATATGTCGGCTGGCGCGGCCCAGATTGGATTATCAGATGTCAGAAGCCTTTGGTCTACCAACCGTGGTGATGCTGATGAGAGTTTGATAAACTCTCTCCACGTTTTTCTTTTCAAAACCAGTAAACAACATTGGCCTTAATCATGTCGCATTATGCGCCCATCACTCTGAGTATACTTGTCATTAAAACAACATTCCCCTTTATAGTATCTCCACATGTCACCCACGACCCACAAACGAAGATTCGCCAGTAGCGAATCTTTCATTAAATTTATTTCTTGCCGGTGCCGAAAGTCAATTTGTTTGGCCCCACACCGGGCCCGCGGTCGCTCTAGATTATCTTACCACGTGGACGCAGTTAGCAGACTTTGATATTGAAGTTTCAAATATTAAATCGATATGTTATCGGAGAGAAATCTGATGAGGTTTTTTTTTCTTCATCAAACTGGTATGAGTTATATGGAAAGTAAGATCAATCACTAAATACAAACTTATGAAACTGATCTGTGATCGTCATGTTCTTTGCGTTATTAGTCTTGTTCTTGGGCACACGAGTCTTAAACTCAAGTGACATTAAAAGAATTGAGCTCCTGAAAGCAAGTCCATCTGGCAATCACAACGAACCGTGCTTTAAAATGAGCAGTGCCAAGAATGCCGAGAGATATCAGTTACTTTAAAAAATAATATTGTAATATTGCATGTTTAGCGGAAAAGGTCGTTGCGAATACAAATACTACAAAGTCCAATCTGCAATAGATTGACGCGTTTCACAGCAAATCTTGAGTACTTTTTTCAGTAACTGAATGACGATTGAAACTCAACATAAAGTTCGTGTTTAAATAGAGCAAATTCAATCTGTTACGGTACTTTTGCAGTATACATTATTGTGTAGAAATTCGCCTCAGTCATAAACTTTTCATAATTTCTTAAGTTTTTTGAAAGATTTAAAAAAAAATCTTGTTACTTATAATCTAGAGCATGTAGTTTACCGTTGTGTGCCATTTTTTTTGTCCACATCACGTGCCAGTGTCACAAAGCTCAATCACCCTCAACAATACGCGACACGACACGTCGGCTGTATTTGAACAACCTATTTATCTCTAATAGGCGTCGCAAAACACTTTCACTTTGAAAACATTCGCGCGTGTCACGTGTCAATTCAGCGCATCTGTTGTGTTGACTCAGTTCCCTGCTATAGCAAATCGATATGTGTCAATACGCCACTATTTGAAACAATATAGCTCGGTGGTATTATATTTCCCGTAACAATTTCCAGAATAGCTTTGTATATTTCCAATATCTTATTCGGATAGACCCATATTAAGGTAATTTGTGGCCGGATGATTGCTCACAGGAACAGTACAGAACATTTCTGAGAGCACCGTATGGTACAATTGTTGCTAACCATTGTGCATTTTCAAGTTTTTTGTGGAAATTTGGACGTCTTCCTTCTTGTAAATTGAATGTAAATACTGCAGATGGGCAGATGTAGGCTAAGTCTACCTTACTGGTTGAAATTTGTGTGAGGTAGCAGCCGTTTTGTTTGTTATGGATCATCGAGAGTAAACGTGTAAAGAACTTTCACTTACCGTGTGCCGCGGCGTCTGCTTAAAGAACAACGCATATGGTTATTAATATGCAACATTATATTCAGAGTAGTTAGGTAAGTAAAGTCTGTCACGAGCCAATGTGGCCCATCAGGCCGGCGTTTATCTCCGGTTTCAGTAGCACGATTAATATTTCTACTCCCCTGGATGGGATGCTAGTCCATCGCAGGTTACCCCCCAGCTAATGCCAGTACCCATTTATACTCCTGGGTGGAGAGAGGCAAGTGGGATAAAGTGGCTTGCCCAAGGACACAACGTATGGCCAGCGGCAGGATTCGAACCCCTGATCATGAGTCACAAACCCTAACCATTAGGCCACACTCCCCCATATTAAGAGTATGAATATGAATAATTGTGAAAATCAGTTTTAATTAATTCTTTAAAGAAAGCATGGAGTTATTGCAATTCTTAAAATGCACATCTTTTACCATTCAGTTTTTGTTGTTGCCATTTCTATAGGGGATTATCGGGACCGGTTTGCGAATGCTAATTTACATATTCATGAGCAAAAATACTGACGTCATTTAAGGCGAAGCCTCAGTATTTACAGCTGCTTACAAATACAATTGGCATTTGGTGTGGTCAGTTCCCATTTTTGCTGTGTTTTCTTTGTTGATTTTGGACAAAACAGCTGGTCAGTAAGCAAACCGGTAAAAAATCCAACCAGGTATCTCGGTTAATAATTTGTGCAGTTCAGATGCGTAGCTACCTGTAGCCAACTATGGAAACTACACATACAAAAATACATTCATAAATACCTCAGACAGTTTAGCTATTCCTATTGGTCGAGAGCCCGTCACGTGGCCGGTCTTAAACGGATGATAAAGACATGGCTAGCTGGTCTTAAACACTTTTCCAGTGTCATAATAAAATGTGGACTCCTAAAAATCCTGTTCCTCTTTCCGTTTCATTGGTTCAACGTTCACAATCCTCACGTAGGCATGCGCAACACTACCAGCGAGTCAAAATTTTATAGTTCTAAATTCAAAACGCAACCCCCCAGGTGCGTTCTGCGCGACATCGCGCAGAACGTGCTACGCGCGCGTCAATCTCCATAAAAGGGTTGTTTACATCTTACTCGCCAGCTGAACACTCCATTATTTTGCTAGAGGGATGTTTCAAAAAGCATAAAGTGAACTTGTTGCACAAAATCGGGATTTTTTGAACGAATTATTTGATATTTGTTTTTACCGAAAAGGTATTTATGAATGGGAATAAATATGTGCTCGGTCGGTATTTATCACTCTGTTTAAGACTGCTTAGAGTCTGGGTGCTGATAATTACCCTCGCCTCCGGCTCGGGTAATTATCAGCACCCAGACTCTAAACAGCCTTAAACAGAGTGATAAAAACCTCCGGAGCACACATTTATTC